AGAAAAAGTAGAATTGGGCTGAAAGATCTATCGCTTTATCACCTCTTCAGGTTGTAAATCGTGTTTTTAAAAAGTAACTAAGTAATTAATTACTTTTGAAAATAAGTAATCAGTAAAGTAACGGGATTACTTTTTGGGTAAGTAATCAGTAATTAGTTACTGATTACTTTTTTCAAGTAACTTGACCAACACTGCTCTTGTCCAAAGATGAGGTGGATCGTTGGCTGTGACAGGTCCTCGGATGTTTTTATGTTTCTGTGAGGAAACATGAAGATGGAAGTGTAAATGCACTCTGTGCCCGCATCAGGCACACTGGGCGCACCTGCGCAGGTATAAACAGACTTTAACGCTGGGGCGGAGTGATACCTCTTACTTCTCTCTGCCGCTCTTTGTTCCCTCCGCCCTGGTAACCCACCCCACACCCATCTCTACCAACCTGCTGCTGTGACGTCACGCAGGTGGCGAGCTAATGGAAGTGTCACCAAAACAAGACGTCACGCGGAGAGGCCGACGTGATAGGCTGAGAGAGCAAACCACGGCGCAGCACGAGGACGCAGGAGGAGGAGGATGGCGGTTGCTATGCAGGTTGTTGAGGAAGAAAAAACAGTTTAAAGATTTTTTTCATGTTGCCTCCTCCTGTGCTCGTGCACGCGCTCGCAGGCACAGAGACATGGTGTATAAACCTGCGGGAAAAATAACTAAATAACTTAGAAGGCAGAACACCTTCATTTCAGATCATCCAGAACAGCACAGATTATTAATATGAAATTAAAAAAACAAACCTGAATGTGTAATAATTTAGTGTCAGAAATGAATTCATAATTGACATGATTTTGTTTCTGTATAAAAACAGCTGCTCATCATGGGATGGGAAGAAGGGTCCACACTAAACTCTGACTCTGCATACATTTCATTTAAGTGACAATAAAATTCTTTTAAAAAAAGACAATCATGATTATTCTTTTGATATCTCAGAAATGTATCAGAAACAATCTAGATTTAAAAGTGAAGCAGCAAAGTGTCTGAAACATAGAATTTGTGCCACCGACAAAACTTTAGCCCAAGACTGTTTAACCACAGAGCCTCGCTCTGCGTGAGGCACAGTGACAGTATGAGACAGTAACAGAGGTAATAATTATCATTTTAATACCACACTTATTATTTTGAATGTATCTTTCGGTGTAGTTTTGCATTTAATTTTGCAGTTTTCTGCATTTATTCCAGTTTTACATCATTAGTGTATTGTAGCTTTACACGACTAAAACTTCTCAGGACTTTATTTAATGTATTTAACGAATGATGGCATGTATGTGTATGTATATATATGTATGCGTGTATGCGGAAATATGTGTGTGTATGTATGTACGCATGCATACATGTATATATACATATGTATGTATGTGCGTGTATGTTTGCAGGTGTATGTATAACTTGTACATATCTTTCTTGTGTAAATGTAAATTTGTCTGTGATTGTGTAAATACTTACGCTATTGTGTACTTCACACACATAGAGAAATGCCAAACAGCCTTTCATTGTTCTTGTAACAGTGACAATGAAAGCTATTCTATTCTGTTCTATTCTGTTCTATTCTAAAAGTAATGGGTAAAAGTCAAACTAGGGTCAAAGGTCAGAAACGAGCAATATTTATAAAGCAACAGATAATTTCATGCTTTGCATTGGGACCATAATAAAATG